AAAGCTCATCCTTTTGGAAATGGAAACTGACATTGAGTTTATCACAACAAACACACGGTAATGCATTACTAAGAATTCCTTTTGATACCAAAAACAACAAACTGTTATCATAATCAATAACATCGTCTTTATACAGTATGAGTCTTTATTTATTTCTGTTCTTCCTTCTTTCTCTTAGTTCTAATAATTGAATCAATAGAACGTAATGCAAAAGATATTTATACTTTACTTTCAGCAACTAGTTTTTGTCCAATATTTATGAGCCCATTCTCCAAGGATTCCCAGGTTGCTCCTCCTTTCTTGTCAACATCTTCAACTCTGTTCAGCCATTTTACCAAACAAGATCTGAGGCGGTCATTAACAGTATCCTCGTCAGATCGTATGGTTCTTATTGTCACTTCATTGAGACCAATATCCAGACAAAGATCTTTCCATCGACTGGGATCAAATTTGCATTCCTTTAATTTTGAAACGATTTCAGCTAAATCTGAAATATCCAGTGGTTTACCTACATAAAGTATAACATTGTATATACATGTATTATATGAGGGACATAGATTCATTTTACTTCTTCTTAAACAGACTAAGTATCATCATATAATATCTATCATACATTTCATTGCATAACATACTGGCAGTGGTGGGCAATGGAACCTGTGGAGGTTTAACGTCTTCAGGATGCACATGCACATGGTTGGTTGGTTCACCTTCTTTTCCTTTCATTTGCAGGTATGATGGTAAGTATATCATAAGGACAACAGCTACAGCAGCAATGCAAAGAGGAACAATAACCCATCCACTGCACATGAAGGAGCATAAAGGACTGATATAATATAGTTAGACAAAGAGTTGATCATAATATATAGTCTTACCTTTGTTGCTTAGTTTCACTCGACAGTGGAGATCTAGTATCTAAGAATAAAAGTCATTAATATAGTAGCATTAGGAATGAGGTGATCCCTAATCATAATTATTATGGTACTATTGAACTGATAGGTTAGCAACTAATTCACTTAGCAAGTTAGCATAATTTTACTGACAAGTTTTCAAAGCAATAGTATATAGTATGAATACTAAGCTGAGTATTGCAAACTTTTGTGAGGCAGTGTGCTGTGATTTGTCTATTGATATTGTATGTCTCAATCATTGCATACAGTGATCATGATTGTTAATGTGAACCCTTCTAAACTGAAATTCACTTTTATCAAAATTTTTTTTACTGAAACTAATTAAACTAAAATCTAAATTTACTTATTAGAACTAAAGTCTAAGTTCACTCATTAGTCAGTTACAAAGTCAGTTACTTATTAAAGTTGCCAGTTATTTAGTGCAGCATACACATATAGAGCAGCATTGTCAGCTGCAGTAGCCTTTGAGTCTTTAGCAGCTTCTTTTTTACCATCACCCCAGTCACCAATACCCTTGATGACAATAGCTTCAACGACACATCCAGGGATATAATCAATAGCATTGATTATTCCAGCTCCTTCCATTTCTCCTGCTATAGCATCTTTTCTGGATTCTAACAATTTCTGTTTAACTTCAAGATTATCGATCAGACTGCCTGTAGATATAAGGACACCAGGAGGAAGAACTTTTATATTGTCTGGCATTTCAAAATTGGGATGAGGTCGGAATTTGTGTAAAATGGCTGGCTTTACTAGGTGATGAGCACCTCTCTGATACTCGTTATCTTCATTCTCTCCTTCGCGTTTATTTGTGAAATCACAGATCATGTCAGAAATCACAACATCACCTAACTTCTGCTTTCCTGGATACATTCCGAAGCAGACACCAACAGCAACAACGTATTTGATACTCGGAAACTTTTCTAACATTTTGAATGTTATTAAAGCAGCATGAATTGGACCCTGCCTGCTCTTAGCTGGTGCGGTCATCACAACAATAACTTTGCTTTTTCCATAATTCCCTATGTATATTCTCAGACCATCAATGTATGTTTCAATAACCTTTTCAGACGATTGTTTGAGATAATGCACGACTGGTTCTTCTTCACTTGTAGTGGCCGGCATAAGTAGGATTTCAATATCTTTAACAAGATCTTCATGAAAATCTTGCTTTTCAGGAACTTGTGGGCCTGAAAAGAAACTGCTTAACTTCTGTCCTTTTCAGATGCAAGCATCATGCATGTAGCTATTATGTGTTTGATTGAAGTTAGTTTGCAATTGCTTTAGCTAGTATCACAGCATCACTGAATTGTGTGTTGCATGTGTGTATTAAACTACTGTATTGTTAGTAATTTGTTACTTTTTGCATCATGTCCAGCGTCAGTTTCCTCAATACCAGCACTTGCTTTAGCTCCTCCATCTAAAGAGGACAACATAAAGAGGATCAGTTTAGTAGATCTTTATCAATACAAAGCACTTTATGTGTATAGTGTTATTATTAATGTGGGCATTATGAGTAGCAGCTGTGCTTGTTTGGAGGGACAGAGATAAGTTGATTATGGCCCTCAGCCCTCCCACATAATTGTGGTTTCTGCAACTACTACCTTAAAGAAGGCTTTTGATGCAATAGCTAATTAATTTTTAAACAAATTTCATGACAAAATCTGCTTACTACTTTAGCCTAAGTAGAGACCCATAGCTTAGATTGTTAACTAAAATTATGCAATAGTCGGTTACAGGCAGTCAATATTACCTTTGCTGCTTTTCTTTGTGGAGTCAATTTTTGGTCCTATATAGAGAAGAGTACAATTAAATTTGCTGGTTAGCTTTTCACTTACCCGTACTTTTAGCATTCTTTTCTCCTGATTTGCCGGTATCTCCTTCTTGTGCTAAATTTTCTAAAGATATAGAGTTTAGATTTGGAAATATTTGATAATATTAAAATGGTTCTGGTGCTGCATGCATCAGTATTCAAAGTAACAATGTTAATTACAGTACCTGCACTTTTGCCATTGCATGTGTATGCAAAAGATG